ATGCCAAATTGACGAATTTTATCAATTCCCAGTCGCTTAAATTTTCTGGCCTTCCGACCTTGTGTTCTATTTCGTGTTAAAATTTTAGTCCATTTACAAAAAGTGCTCCACCGCCAATCTTGCTCGCCAACATTTCGAACAAGGGAAAATTGTTTTTTTTAGAAGGACGGGGGGCAACGCCCCACAGGAGGAGCCGTTCACGCTGCCCACCCTCATAGCTTCGCGGCCGAGCATGGTGTTGTTAGACGCGCGATGAAGAGCATCAGAATGCCCGCAAGTGATGCATATTTGTAAAACACCTAGGGAAAATAGTATCATGAGATTAATTGTCATAGGGTGCATGTGGGATATTTGTAAAACTTCCTCTCTTCTTAATTCATATATGAGGCATATCTTTTGCCTCCGTTTCAATTTGCTTTTCCCTTCATTCGAGCTTCAGGATGATCAATCACGCACTGCGATGGCTATATCATTTCATCTTCATTCCATTTCTGAAATTTGGGCTACGCCTATATTTAGGATTTTTCTTTCTATTTATTTTCTGAATTTATGCATTTTTCCAAGGTTCGTTTTTGTTATGACAGAATTACACTTGTAACTTTTAGTTTTTCACAGTTTTGAGGTGTCGAAATTACAATTTTTAATTTTTGTAACTAATTTGAATTACTATTAGATATCTTTTTTAACTTTTCTACTCAATTTTATCTAGAATGAAAAACAATTGACTCCTATTGTTTCCGGTGGTTAGATTCACTCTAATATCTAAATATATATTTTCGTAAAACTATTCATCCTAATTTTGAATATTCCAAGAGAAAGAGAATGTTGTGAGCCGTAAAACAAATATCCACTGAGGTGCTCCCTGGGGTCAGATTCGCTCTAATATAGATACACAAAATTGAATTTAGTTTTTTTTTTGTGAAAGTTTGCAATTGAATTATGAATTTTATAAATAAACACAAGCGTTTTTTGAAGCCCATGCATAAAAAGATAATTGTCATCCAGATAAAAAAAACCACTCCCGATGGTCGAATTCGCTCTAATATCTAAACACCAAATTGTTCCCCAGATATTATTTTTGAAATTTTACAACTCATTTTATGAATTTTCTGAAACAAAACATCATGTGATGCAGAGTAAAAAGGTGCACTGCAGATGCCCCGGGGTTAAGATCTAGTCATGTCTTTCGTCAAATAAAAAGGCCAGGTCCGTATCGACCACCATTTGTGTTGACCGGGGCCAATGTCTCAACTCTTGCATGTCAACTCTTTGCCTCTTGGCATAGTTTTGTATTTGTCACATTAGAGTGCTCAATTTGATCACTGACTCTCTTGACGTTTTTCTCCATGTTTTACAAATTAACTTCACTTTTTTTCCATGGACAGACCAACTTGGCTTGTTTAGATATAAATGCATCCCTGTCACTTCCTAGATATATAGGTAGCAGATTTTGATGTCAGCTAATGAGAGCTCAGGCTGTAGAATATTAAGGGCATCTCCAGCCGCGCCTCCAACAGGCCCTCCTTAGGCGTTTTTGCCGCGCCGGTGCCAAAAAAAGGCTCAGTCGCGTCCCCAGAAGCCCGTTTTTCGCCGGCTCGGGACAAAACTGGTGCCTGCGGACCCAGGCCGAACCCGGCGCCCTGGGGGGCGCTTGGGGAGCTGGCACAAGCGAAAAAGGCGCGTGGGTCCGCCCTGGCGGCGACCCGAGGGCCATTTCCCGCCGTTTCTTGACGCTTTTGCCTCGCATCTCTCCCGCTCGCTCGCCTTCCTCCCGCCATTCCCTCCCTTTCTCCCGCCAAACCCCCTCCCGCTCGCCTTCCAGTCGCCGCCATGCCGCCGAAGAAGTACGCCATGCCGCGCACGGCGGCAACTGCGACTAGCACCGTGGCCCAGCCGAAGCAGAGGAAGCCGAGGGCGCCGCCATTGAAGCCACCGGGCCTGTCGAACGCCGAGTGGAGGGTGGAAGTTCAGCGACGCGACGCAGTCACCGCCGACCGGCGGAACAGGGCCATGGCCAAGAAGGCCCGCGACAACGCGGCGCGCGCGGCTGCGTCTTCCTTATCGGTCGACCACGCGGGGATGATGAATCCACCCGTCGTCAGCCACGCCCAGTACGTGCCCTAGGGACAGCAAGGCGTCGGATCTCCATGGGGTTCGTCGTCGCCCGGCTACGCCGAGGCGACGCGCACGGTGGGTTCAACCCAAACCTGACCTTCCCCCATGGCCACGCCGCGACGCGCACACCCTCGCCCGCCTTCGTCGGCGTGCAGTACCCTCCATACAACTACTTGCCGCCCGCATACGCATCCACACCGACGCCCCATCTCCGCCGTGGACCGCTGCCCTTCTCGCACCTCGGCGACACCAACGACACAGGAGCCGACATGGACGACATCATCACAACAGGATCGACCGCGGCCGCCGCGTCTCCCGGGTTCGCCACCCAGGACGAGGTAGTGGATCTCAGCGACGACATGGAGGATGAGCTCGGCTACGTCTACGGCGAGGACGCGCACGAAGCGCAGGTTCCGGAGGAGGAGGACGAGGAGGAGGAGGAGGAGGAGCCGGCTCCTGTTCCGACGAAAGGGCGCCAGAAGAAGAAGAAGCGGGCGGCTAGGTCAGATGAACCGCGCATCAAGTGGACGTCCAAGGAGGAGGAATGCCTCGCCGAAGCATGGAAAGTCGTCTGCCTCGACCCGACCACCGGCGTGAACCAGAGCTTGGAGACGTACTGGGACCGCATCAAGGCCGAGTTCGACGAGCGGAAGCTCGTCGACCCCTACTTCAAAGGCGTCTACATGCAGCGCGGCTCCAAAACGATGGCGAACCATTGGGGGCGTATCCAGTTGGCGTGCAACAAATGGCATGGAATCGTCGAGGAGGCCGCGGCTCGCCCGGAGAGCGGCGCCAGCGTTGAGGATCAGGTACGCACGCCGTTCGCCCGCATCTCTTCGTCGTCTACGCCCGCCGCCCGCCAACTGTTTGTTCCTCCGCGCAGCTGCTGCATATGTTCACCATGTATCGGCGCGACAACCAATACGCCGACTTCAAGCACCTCCACGTCTACAAGCGCATTGACAAGTGCGAGAAGTGGGCGGAAGTCCGACGTGCCCTCGACAAGGCCAAGGAGACATACAAGCCGGACGCGACGACTCCGGCCGCGTCAGAGGGGCGGCCGGACGGCCACAAATTGGCAAAGAAGGAGAAAAACGCCGACGCGGCAACCGCGCGAGTGCAGGAGTCCATCGAGCATTGCATCGCCGACGCCCAGGCCCGGGCCGTCCTACGTGAAGAGAAGACCGAGGCGCGGTGGTCGTCGCTGATGACGAACAGCGCCATCAAGCTCGACCTGCTCCGTACCAACATCGACCTGCTCCGGACGAACGTCGCCGCGAAGAAGAGGAACACCGACATGACTTTTCTGATGGGCGGGGCGGACATGCTCTAGAGCAACGACGAGTAGCTCAGGGCGTGGTACATGGCGGAGCGCGGCCTCATCCTGAACCAGATGCAGACGGCAACGCCGACGACGCCGACGACGCCAGCTCCCGTGCCCACGGCCACACGGACGCCAAGCCCGAACAACGCCTCTACATCGCCGCCCAGCAGCACCGAAGCTGCGCCGACACAGCCCAGCACCGAAGCAGCTCCGACACCGCCGAGCCCGCGCACGCCGACTCCGCCAACGCCTGGAGCCGACCCCGCCGAGTGATTTGTTGCGCACGCGAACTTGCGGCATGCGGCGCTCTGTTTTTTGTAACGCCAGACTACGTCCGATCGCCGGATTTGTGGCGTCTTTTGTGAGCGGGAACGACCTAGTTTAAATTTCTGCAATCCTGGGGCCGGCGCTTGGGGGCGTGACTGGGAGCTAGGTCGCCCCCAGAGGCCGAACTAGCGCCGGTATGCCCCCAGGCCGCTCTATTTATTCGACCTGGGGGCCGAACGGATGGAGATGCCCTAAGTTCTCCATACGCTTCCATAGCAACCACACCGTACCGCCGTACGCTTGCATTTCTAAGATAGAGACTTGTGGAGCTAGCGGGAGTAAAATATTTTAATTGTTATATACTTTGGGCTTTTGGTGAAGTAAGTACAAGGAGGTGGAGCCTAGAAAACAAGATCACTGCACGTGCATGGAAATGGAACGGCTGATGAGAGTTCATCTCTCTTAATAGCAACAAGCAACAATTTACAGAAAGAGACATATATGTAGACTATGTACTCTCACTCCAATTCGAGGCCCAAATATTGTGGAGCAGAGCTTACAGTTACACACTGATCCAATATTGGAGTAATTTAGTACTAGCTAGTTTGGAAGCACCAACAAATTCAGTGGGATATATTATGGATCTCTCCGTGTAAACTCCGTGTTCGATTCTTTTTATCTAATAACACCGCGTTAAAGTGGCATTGCCATGCAACTGAAGTCTAACCATTACTACATAAAGTACCAAGAGCTGTCTAGCTAGTGACAGAAGGTGTATTCTATTTCGGCAGGTGGCTTTACTAGCTAGCTGGAGTAAACAAGTTTAGGGGACCAGCAACCTCATTGACCAATGTGTTAGTTAACGAGTAGCGGCTCTCTAGCATTTGGTGTGTGACATACAGACATGTGATATTGTATATAATTGATATAATACTCTAAAGTCACCGTCGGTTGCCAAAGCCGCTATATCGGACAAGGAAAAATAGCAGTCCAAGTTGCAAGACTCAATCAGCACAAGCGCACACAAGTGCAATGAAAATTAAGGAGACACAGTATGCAAGAACGATGAATGTTCACATATGAACTCTTCTCATAACATATTACAAAGCCCCTATTGCAGACTAAGGCCTCCTCCAATGGGATTTTGGATAGGCACCCAAAAAGTCACGCGATGTGGGTATGAAGCATACCACAACGTCCTGATGGGGTGCACCACCTCGATCCCAGGGGCATGTACATACACATATATACTATGTATACGTGTGGTATACACTAAAGTAAAAGGAGTGAAGGCTTATACGTGCTGGGGCGTGTTGTTAGGTGGGCTGCAAGGTACTGCCAGGATGGCATTGCGTTTGCCGCGCTCTGAGACACTGTTCTCGGCGAACTTGAGGCCGGCAAGGTGGAGGCCCTTGCTCTTCTCCTCCTCTGTCCACTCGGCACCGTAGTAGTCCTCCTCGGTGGCGTCGGCGCTGGGAGGAAGGAGCATAGATCCCCACTGCGGGAAGTGCACAAGCGTGATGGGGAGTGTGCACACCATGATCATAATACCCATGTACTGCAGTCCTTTGCCGGTGGTGTACTGTGATGACGTAAAGAAGAGGAACTGTGTCAGCCCGCCACCGACATTACCGCCTGCGCCGCTCATGCCAGAGATGAGGCCGAGGGAGCGTCGGGAGACGAAAGGGATGACACCGTAGACCGCACCACATGCAGCCTCGACGCAGATGGAGTAGAGGACCATGCAAGTGACGGAGGTGGGCAGACTTGATGCACGGCCAAGACAAATGCAGAAGACTCCACCAGCTGTTTGGAGGATCCAGATGTTCCAGAGACGGGCACGCATGCCGAAGTAGCGGGCACCAAGGTCGGAGAGGTAGCCTCCCATTGGTCGTGCGAAGATATTGGCCAAGCCAAAGCTAGCAGCGATGGTGCCGGCAGCACGGAGGTCGAGGTGGAAGCTGTCGTAGTAGTACTCGGCTATCACGTTGTTGGTGGTGAGCTCGACGCCCATGCAGTAGCCATAGATGAAGACGAAGATCCATGTACGGTAGTTGGTGACGGCGCCCCGGAGAACATTGGAGAACTTGTCTTTGTTCATGTCACCATTTTTCTGAAGGCTCCTCAGGTTGCCGTCGGGAAGGTCTTGCCCCGTGGTGAGGACAAGCAAGCCCATCACCACCAACATCATTCCTGGCACGAAATATGCAATGCGCCATGCTGTGAAGCGTGTTGCACCACATGCCAGGATGCCGTCAAAGACGAGAGGCATGATGAGCTGTGTGGCACCGCCGCCCATGTCACCCCACCCCGCCGTCAAGCCACCGACCGTCCCGATGATCTTACTATTGAACATGGTACTAATCCAGTACTGACATGACACAAAGGTGGCAAGAGAGACACCAATAAGGAACCGGATAGCGATGTATCCTCCAGGACCATCGATGACTGACATGCAGAACACCGCTGGTGCGGAGAGCATGACGAGGAAGGCACAGCCATAACGCGGGCCGAGAAGGTCGCAGATGGCGCCCATGGCTAGCCTTGAAAAGATGGCGCCGGAGACGGAGGCGACCCCGGCGTTGCCGATGTCGGCCTTGGTGAGGTTGAGGTTGTCGCGGATGATGGGGATGAGCGGCGCAGCGGCGAAGGTGGAGACAACGCAGGTGAAGAAGGACATCCATCCGAGATGGAAGGCACGCATGTGTGGGTTGCCGAAGGAGAAGATCTTGATGGACTTGGCCTTGTGCTCAGAGTCCACTGGCAGCGAGAAGTTGATGGGCGCCGCGGTGGCGGTGGCCGGGGAGCCGACCTCCGTTTCCATATCTTCTTGTGTTGAGGCTGGAAGAGGGCTTCCGCTTTGCTTGCTCCTTGGAGCTGAGCTGAACTGTGGACTAGGAGAGGCCAGAGGTAGCTGACTACAAAGGTGGCTCTAGCTATCAAGGTTGTAACGCTTGTGTTTCTGCTCGAGAGACTACACGAAGGTATGTATTTATAGACCAAGAGAGCAGCTTCGGTTTGGCATATTCGCTGGCATATGCTGCTCGCGTTTCCTTTGTCTTGTTTCGGCTCAAATTAAACATAGTTTAGTAAACACTTGTTGCAACGATCGTACATCTGTTCTGTTCAACTTATCACGGCTGCCAAACTACTTATATGATATGAATATATATGCTATGCAGGTCATTAATTGTACCAGTGCAAAAGAGTTGACACTGTTGGGTTTATTCGATCTGACTGCAGAACTTGCAGGCTGAGATATTCCTACGCCAACTGTAAATTACGAGCTCTTTCTTTTTGCAAAGATGTAGTACAGATATAAGAGTTGACTCTACTAACTGCAGAGCTAGCTACAGTACGTGTTGTGTTGCTGAAAACTGTGCAAAGAGTTGACTCTGGACAATAGCCTATCACATTTGTGCTTGCGCACATGTAGGTACCAGTAATATCCTGTGAGTATGGTGTTGTAAAAATAACCAAGGTCCTTTCTTAGAAAAGAAGGAAGACCCCGGGCCTCTGCATCTCAGTGATGCATGCAACCAATTTATTAATTATTCATTAAAATCTTACAAAGTAATACATCAGTACGTATGAAACCACCATCTTGACAACATGTGTCGCTACTCCTATCCACTAGATGAATGAGCGCCGACAGTCTGAGCCGATACCAAACAGACCTAGCACCATAGCTTAACATCTAAAACTGGAGGCCCCAACCAAGACACATTACCGGGTCTGGGGCACACACTAGTCCAGCACACTCTTAGAGGCTGCCGCCACCCTCTTTCACCGATCGATCTTTAGAGTTGTTCTGGCGCATCAACCTTGCCAGGCCTAGCTGACGTCGACTCCATCACGACGCCAGACAACACCTCCATCCCGCGCTCATCCATCATCAAGTGCCCACCAACGAGACCCCGCTGCTCCATGCCTCCGAGACACACTGTTGTCGACGTGCTAGATGCCACGCCACTCCTCCTTCGCGAACACCACCTGCTGCCACTTGTCCCATCCCATCCGCCTACAGTTCCTCTAACTGAGCACCCGAATGCCCCAGGCGGCGCCTACAAGAAGGGCACGACACACACAGTGTGGCCGTCGCCCAATCTGAGGAAATTTTGGGTTTTCACCCGGGCATGGGGTCAGGATGGAGGGTAGCAACCTCGACGGAACCTGCAAGGAGGAGAATGACGACCTTGGTCGTCGCCACCGTCTGGATGAGCGAGTCATCCAGAGTTTTCTCCAGTCGGATGTCACCTCTACCAGCTCCCGCGAATGCACCGAGGCCGACGACCGGGATCACAAGCCACTAAGTGCAACAGGAGAGAGCCTACAGTGGGGAGGAGATCCACCAGCAACTCACCGCCCACGCGGTCAAGATGCCGTCCATCCACCACCTGCGAGGGCCGCCATCCGAGGGTGCCGTTGCTATGCCTACCAGGGCAGCCGCCCAAGGTCCAGATTCCTCTGCGGTGACCGAAGCGACGAGATCCGCCCACGCCGTTGCCCAAGCCCGCCGCTGGGAGCCGGCACACTGATGGAAGACCCACACCCCAAGGATTTGGGCGCCCATGCACTGCCGCAAGCCCGCCACCACCGGAAATCGTCGTGGCGTCAGGAGGGCCGCACCCTGCGGATCAGGGCGCCCACACCGCCCGTGGATTCGGGGTATGGAGGAGAGGCCCTCCGCTGCCGTCATCGCACGCATGGGCTTTGCCCGGCGCCGATCACCGGCAGCTGCAGAGGGAGAGGTGAGCGATGGGGGAGGGCTAGATGGCAGCGACTGAGACCTCCCGTGTCGCCTACGAGGGCGGGGGGCGACGCGAGGGTGGATAGGACAAGTGTTTGCCTCTGAGTTCGTGAGAGCGGATAGGACCAAGTGTTTGCCTCTGAGTTTGCGAGAGCGGATAGGACCAAGTGTTGTAAAAATAATCAAGATCTAGCTTGCGGCTTAGCTCGTACTCAAGATTAGCTCAAGTTTAGGAGAGGACCAGTTGACCAAAGTAAGTTTTGAGGACGCTGCGTTAGTGAAGGCGAACGATGTAGAACTAATAACTTGCAAGTAATAATATGGCGACTTGTCAGCTAACCTAAGATATTCGATGAGCTTATCAGGGTTGCCAAGCTTTTATATATGGTTGAGCTTATCAAGTGCTAGCCAACCAAACGTGTATAACTCCTATGTATACGACCAGGTACGAAAATCACCACATGAGAGAGTACGGATCAATGTTGCGTTGGTACCTCGTCATCGATATCCTTACGCAAACTGGATCGATCCGTCCTTATACTGGCTGGCATTGAGATCTATCTGGAGATCGATCGTCAAGATACGTATCATGTTTCACCTTATTAATTTATCAGAGCAGGTTAACCAGCGCGAGTCAGCAGTACGTGTACTGTTGCATGCACGTCGTGTAGCTAGCTAGCTGAGTAAGTCCACGACGTGTTTTCCGTGCGTGATTCCCGCCCTGTGTGAAAGTCAAATTTGTTAGCTTGAGTCAGTCAGTGCACATGCATGCACGTTGAATCCAAGAACACCTTACGTGCGTACGGAACAGACCATGTCTTTCCAAGAAAGACGCAATAGATCATTTATTCCCGGCCGTCAGATTTCGAAAAAGGGTTCCTCACTTTGTATTTCAAAGCAACCGACCGATACAACCAATGATAGGTGCTAGGACAGAAGTAGCATAGTCACGTTCAAAAGAAACGGAAAAAAAATACAAAAGAAAGGAATGACAACAGAGTCGGATCAACGAAAACAACAATGATCCGCGACCGCTGCGCCCTCCAAAAATACCACCACACTCCTAGTGTTTCGGACCCACGCATACCAAGCAACACCTTCAAGAAGGAACACGAATGATGACGACGCTGTTGCCCGGACATGTCCTAGGGTTTCCCCCGGTACGCGAGGGGGAGTGGATGAGGGGGATACCCGACGTCCTTCAGGAAGGAACGACGGCGCCCAATGGCGTCGCTGCATCGGTGCCGGCCAAGCCAACAAGGATTTCTTCCGTCCACCACACACCCACCACCTCGACCGATCCGTCACGCTCCACCAAACTCGCCGTCCATCCATCATGTGCCACCACGGTCTTGGAGCCACCACCGCCGTATCTCCATGGGGATCGAAGCAGGGCCGACGGATTGAGAGGAAGCAACCAGGAACAAGGAGCGGCAAAGTCCGCCGCCACGCGGGAGGGAACCACCTCCACCGCCATCGGCGGTTACCGACCGGATGCACCAAGAGGAGCACACCAGGCACATAGGCCCGACCGAGCTTGAAATGGCTTGTGAAAGCTCCCGTCGCCGCGCTGCAGTAGGCATGCCGCCGTCTCCACAACCTCCTGCACGAGCCGCATCTCCGTCCATCAGAGCCGTCACAGGAGAGGCCTGAGCCAGGCCAGCCCAGATCCAATTCAGGGCCCCTAAGAGCCCAAATTGTAATGCGATGATGTAAAAGTGCCACTAACTAGCGAAAAAAAGTGTCTTTAGAAGTAACTTGCCGTGGATTTTGCTTACGTACGGTTAACCAATCGCCAAAAGAGTTTAGGGAACACAAGTTGAGTGAGTGGTAACTAAAAAATCTTGGCGGTGAAAGTGAGAGGTATCGATCAAGTGGACGTTTATAATTGTAGGTGCACCGTACAAGAACAGTTGACTCTTGAAAATCACCAGCACATGCAACTGTACGGTGGCTGGCTGGCTGCGTCTTCATCACTGCAAAAGGTCAAAAGTCAGGCTCCGTTCATTATGGGCACCGTTCTGTTCTCCGCCGTTGAGCTTACATATCTCTGGGCTGCTGAACGACTTATACCAGATAAGCTATATATATTTGATGGGACTGCACGTTAGGCCATTAAGTGCATGCACAGTTGTTGCAGGTACAGAGCCGTGCAAAGAGTTGACACTGCGTATTCAAGGCTTATTCTCTGATTCCATCTGGCTGCAAAATGGAGTACTACTGAGCTAACTACAAAAAACGGGCGAATTAACAACTTGTTAGTTGCAGCGGTTGCACATGCAAGAGCATGGCCGGTGGTGCCTGCAGGTTTCTCCGTTAATCAGTTGGTTCAGTTGGCACCAAGAACTAGTTTAGCCAGGGACACGCATCATGTGTGCTTCTTGTTACAAAAACTAGTTTAGCAGTCTGCTCGATCATTGAGCAAAATTGGAGAAAGTAGGAGTACTCCAACAAAAGGTAGCCAAGTAGTACTGCAACAAGAATGTAGCCAGGTTGCAACTTGCACAAGTCTGGCCATATGGGTGCGCCGCGAGAGCCGGCTTTCCTCAAGCAAGTGTCCTAGATGAAGGTACTGGAGAAAAAAGTCAATGTACAAAAAAAATGTAATGCTGATTTCGTTTTGACAAAAATGCAATGCCGATTTTGCATGAAAACTTCTGTGAAAAATGAAATTACGAGCAAGGTGTGGTTTAAACGATGACACACGGATCACCTTCGATGTGCACCATGTGTACCCACTACTTCGGACCGAGGATGGTGAACAACCTAAGGATCGACCAAGACCCAACTCCAAGCATCCCAGCCGGCAATGAAAAATCCAGAGTCCAGAAATTGTCGACTTAACCAATGTCAATCATATCAATTATAGAGGAGGGTGGACCACGATTGACACTCTCAAAGCAATAGAGCCGCGGGGAAGGGGGCGGTATAGAAAGTGTGATGGTGGTACCACCTCCCCACACAACAGCAACGATTGCAACATGTGGTTTTAATATTTCTACCGGCAGAGAATGGGAGCTTGGAGGAAAGAAATTGAAGTTATCGCCTGTTGACTTCCACGACTGTCCATGATG